CTGAAGGCATTGGGAGCAAAAAAAAAAAGAAAGAAATTTCTACACATTGTTGGTCAGTTTTATTCCTAGGTTCCTTGTAGGTGCTTTTGCAATTATAAAACGTTATATCTTCTATAGTACAGGCTGACCTTGAGCTCACTGTGTAGCCCAGGCTGGCCTCAGGCTCCTGAGGGCTGGCACTGCAGGCAGCCCCTGGGGCTGGCTATTAGCATAGATTTCATGCTGATCTTGTATTTGGTGTCTCTGAAAAACTCTCCCAATTAGAAATTGTGCATTTAGCTTGAACAAACACATCACCTGTGAATACTGATAAATTTTGGTTTATCTTTTCAATTTTTGTATCTTCTGTTTTCCCTTTTTATCCTATTAACCAGTCTAGGCAGGTATCTAGTGCCAGGCTGACTAGGAGTATACAGGAGCACCTTTGTCTTGTTGCTGACTTAAGGACAACCTTTTAAAAATTTCACCGTTAGGGGCCGGGGAGATGGCTCAGTAGAATAAGCGCTTCCCTGGCAAGCACAAGGGTCTGAGTTCAGTGCCTGGTTCCTCAAAAAAAATCACCGTCAATATTGATACTAACTCTTGTTTTATGGCAGTTTTTTTTTTTTTTTCTTTTTTGGCACTGGCAATTGAACTCAGGATCTTGATCTTGCCAAGCAGGTACAGTGCCAATGAGCTAAATCCCCAGCTCTGGAAGATAATTTCATAGTCTTTTACAACTTCTCTTTATTTTGACAAAAGTCTACCCTCCCCCTGTATAACAAGAACTTGCTTATTTTGAGAAAAAAAAAAAAAAAAAAAAAAAGAGTCACAGACGCTAAGGTGTTCATGAAAATAACCCATAAGATTAACTTTAGAAGACAAATATTAAGGCTATGACATGCCTTATTTTTCTAGAGGATGCATTTGACATGCTAAGAATTACCCATTATCCCCTGTGTTGAACAGCCCTGTGCACAGCTCTTACATGGAGTAACACACATTCCTCTAACTCACAGCTGCTTTCAGATGCTACACCTGAGTGGCATTGCCTTTCTAGCCAGGGAAGCAACTGTTGAAATCACGTATACATGGAAGGAACTCTGCTCCCTGCAAAACAAGAGATTATGTTGAGCACAGCTTTGGGTCTGCTCCTCTTTTGACTTATCTCTCCTTGTTTGTTATGTTCCTTGTCCTTTTCTTTTTAATAGATAATGCAATTTTTGTTTTATCTCAGTCAGTTCCTACCTCTTGCCCTGAGGGTCACCTCCTTTCTTTTTTCTTTTTTTATTGTGGCCATATTTTATTTATTGAAATTTTTTATTCATTTTAATGAGAAAAATAGTACTGAAACAGTTTCAAAGCAGGTTAGTAGGACAGTTACAATAATTGATACATTGCATATTGTTGTCTTTGTAGTAGTTATTCAGAGGACAAGATGTAGACATGATATCTTGTCTAAACACTATTAGCACAAACCTTTCTTCTCATTGAACTAATAGAAGGTAGCTGTATATCTATCCTAACTATTTTGTGTGTGTGTGTGTATATGTATATATATATATATATATATATATATATATATATATATATATATATTTCTTCAATATAGTTCTGGAATCATTAGCTAGAGCCATTAGATAAGAGAGAGAAATAAAAGGAATAAGAATGGGTAAAGAATAAATTAAACCATCATTTGCAGATGACATAACACTTTACTTGAAGGGTCACCTCCTTTCAACTTGCCAGTCTTGCAAGGTTTCCACTGTAGACATTCCAAAGCCTCTTAGAATTAGAGCCACCTTAACCCCTTTGTGAGGTGTGTTCTGTGGACGTTGGGGTGTGCAGGGCTCTGCAGGCTGCAGAGCAGCAGTAGGAACATTCTGGGAACCTGTGCCTTCGGCTGTAACAATCCATGTAAAGGTCATGGTCCAAGTCAAAAGAGAAGCTGAGTTGTGGGATGGAGACAGGAATTCTGGTACTGACCTCTAGGTCTCTGCTGCAGGTCCTTTCACTCCTGCTTCCCTCAGCTCGCCTTTGGCTCTGCTGGAAGATTAACATCTGTAATGCAGCCGGAAATCATTCTCCCTCCTGTCCTGAAGGGCTACAGCAGCAGCCCTAGCACTGTGCTCATTAACTCACTGCATGGAGACAAGCCTCGCGTAATGGCAGCCCCGCTCTGCCTCCGCGTCTGATGTCCTGCCCTCGGGGGTGCTGAGCTCCCCAGTGAGCACAGCAGGTCGTGGAGCAAGAATCTGTCTTGGTGGCATTGCTCATCGTTGCGTTTGATAAGATTTTGCATACAGCGGAAAAGCAGGAGGAGGGAAAGAGAAGGGATTTGAATCCCAGGCTTCTCATAAAAAAGCCACCTGTAGTTCAAGGCCAGCAGTGCAATCATGGGGCTCCGTTGCTGTCTCTTCACAAAATGACCCCTTTTTATACTTAATCATAAAGAGCTTTTTGAGTTTTATTTGGCACTTTTTCTTCATTATTTGAATGATCATGTATTTCATCTCAAGTTCACTAATGCAATATAATATTTAGACACATTTAGAAAATAAAAGTATTCATAAGACTGCTAATATGCGTTTCTCAAAATCTATTGCTTTCAGTCCCAGGGTTTTCCATGAGTGACCCCCAAATTGAGATTTCCGTGTGCTAGCATGTGAAATGTAAGGGGCAAATCAAGGGTATTAGTCTTTAGCTTAATATAGTTTCTTCACTAATGTCAAAACAAGATTATATTTCAAGACGAAATTCGAGTTAGCTGTTCCCTAGTCCTCATGCCTGCAGCTCTGCTCCTAGCTGAAGGGAGCTTGACTCCCCTCTCTCCTGCTATTGTTTCCGGTGTGCCCGTCAATGTCCCAAAGGCTTTTCAGCATGGGTGGGAGAGCAGTCCTTTCTTTTGATTCTCTGAAAGACTGCCATCATTTGGGATACAACATTAAAGTTAAGCAGCATTGTCTATAAACCCCCTAGAACTTGGTATTTTCTTTGTGGGAAGACTTCTATCTTTCAGTGAAATTGATACAAAACATTTCGTTTTAATGTTTTGATAAATTAGACTTTTCTAGGACTCCACATGCTTGATCAATGTCTTGCTGGTCGTGTTGAGGCTGTAGCAATCAGGTCTCTGTGAACGCTCTGCTGATGTGTGTAGATGCTGTGATGTAGGTGCGCTTTGGGCTCTTCACTGTGTTTTCATAATTCGCAGGTAACAGCTGTTCATACTATGGTTAGCCAGGCAGTTGGTCAACTTTCATTCAAGCGTGGGTCAGCTGTCTTCACTCAACTAGTTTTTCTCAAAATATTTTTCAATAAAAATACATTTCTTGGCAGTCCCCCACCACCCCGCATATGCAATGTACAGGGAACAGTTGGCAGTGTGAGAATTTAGCACCACCAAAAATTCCACCACTATTTGAATTTGGGTTGGGTTGTGCGTTAGCCCAAGAAGGGCCTCCAGAGCTCTCCTGGTATCTGTAGCAGGGCTTCTGAGAGCCGCTGGATTCCCAGGATGCTCCAATGTAATGGGAGGATCTAAATGTGCTGTTAGGAGGTGGGACTTGGTAGGAAGAGGCGGGTCACTGAAGGTGTGACTCGGAAGTATATATCTCCCTTCCGGTCTGGTCCCTGCAGTCTCTGGCATGATGTAAGCTTCGCCTCTTTGCCTCTCATTCCAACAAAATGCTTCTGGAGCTAGCAGACCATGGCTAAGAACAGGTGCCCAAATAAATGTCTCCTCCTCTAAGTTGTAGCCATCAGGTTCTGTGTTCTAGTGACAAGATACGTTGTATGACATAGTTCTGCAGCTACAAAAAGACATATTTAAAGACACAAACAATAGCAGTACAAAACTGTAATTCATATTTCTTTTTATTCCTTAACAGTTTTTCTTCTAAAATCTAAATGTATAGAAATAATATTTTTGGTAAGTATCAACCTTCTGGCTGATGTTCCCACATAAACAGGTAATTAAAAATTATAGTGCCTTCTAGGTCCCATGAGAGCGCAGGTTGTACTTCCAGGCTAAGTGACTCTCTAGTGTGCCTTCACTCAGGGCTGTCCCTTAGTTAACCTCATCCAAGGCCAAGTGCGACTGCACGTGGTGATGTTCACCACAAGAGACAGGCAGAAGCGTGCGACGCCAGCCTGTCTTTCAAGTTTTCATGAGTATCAGACTGCCACTTCAAACATGAAAAAATTCATTGGTGTTTTGACAACATGTTGCAGGAAGAATCTGCTCGTTTCGCTTCTGAGGTGGAAGCACACATTACCTGGTTCCAGCGAGAGTTTGTGAAAGCAGAAAAGAACTGGAGAGAAATTGACCGAAGGATGAGCCAGACTTTGGAAATAAGAAGAAAGATGATTGGCGGCAGAACACCTCCCAAGCACATTCTTCAAATGTTTCCTTTCTTGAAGTGCCCCTACCAGGTAGCTCTCCATACTTGTCAGCTCTGATCACAGTGGCATATCGGTTGTCCTCTCCTTCCTCTTGGACAGCAATAGGACAATGCTGTAAGACGCTGTGTATGAATCTCTGTAGGGTGAGCAAGGGTACATTCAGATTCCTGTAGAGTTTGTTTGCTGTCCTTGGGCATAGTGTGGGGGCTGGGAGACCACTACATCAGGGTAGTTTGACAGTGTGGATTATTTTTCCTTAGCATACTTTTATTTATGTATTTATTTATTTTTTAAATTCATGTAGTACAGGATCTCCAGTGTCCACAGGGTCTCACCACACAGATCAGACTTGAAGTGATCCTCCTGTTTTCAGCCTCCCAAGCGCTGGGATTCTTGGCATGCTTTTACACAAGTCAGTTTTTTAAAGAAATGCTTAGTGTGCAGTGTTAGTCAAAATCTACTTGTGTGATTCCCCCCATTTTATAGATTGATCTTTAAAATCCTTAGTGGATAAATCAAATATGTCTCCACCAAGTTTACTTAAAGTGGTCACTCAGAGATCTCATCACCACGTTCCTGTGATTTTAGTATTGGTGTATATCGAGAGGGTCACTTTTCTTTACCTGTGAATACATTTCTTGGAAAAATTCTGTGACTTCTGTCAACCACACTGAAGGTGAAACTTCTCTGAATCCCTACCACCGAAAAGAATCCTCCTTAAGAAAAGAAGTTGCCTGTATTATTTTAATATAAGTAGCAAAACCAGTGCTCACTATGTAACAGTCCCAGGCTCTGGGCTTTCCTTGGGCTGATTTACTTAATCCTCCTGGCAACTCTACTTTGGTTTTCCTTTTTTTTATTTAAATCTTTGGGTTGCTATGAATGATGACAGCCAGTGTCCTCTGGCTATTAGATATAAAAATTAATGCCAGACTGACACACCTGCCAAAGGTAGTAGGGAAGTTGGAAAACCTGTCACTGTGACAGTCAGCTTTTTAGACATAGGACTTTGTGGAGGTGAGGGAAGTGGCGGGTGCTGGGGAGGCGCGTGGCTCCAGCCGTTGCAGCTCAGGGGCCTTGCTGGAGGAGAGCCGTGGAGGTTAGGGACCCAGGCAGACTAGGAGGCTAAGCAGCCTACTGAAACTTGAGAGGCTGAGGTCACCATGGCAGGGAGCCC